GTGTATACATCATGATACAGAGAATCTAATAAGAAGAATTAAAATGGATTTCAAATTCCCAGTTACCAATCATATTTTAAAAAAGCATAATTTTTTTCCGCGTAAAACCCAGGTAGGTATTACAATCGTAACAAAATTTAACTGATTGTTCGCATTTCAAAATAAAATACGCACATGGGTAACGAGATGTTTCATTGGCACGTTCGATATAAAATATTGAAATTCAGAAAACGAAATTGTGTGTTACTCATTCATCTTAGATTGTATAGACAGAGATTAAGAATAGTATCTACATGCGCAGTCTTGTATTAATACACCAGAGATTAATACATAGGCACATTTTTATGTCACTGATTTAGATTATATAGATTACGTTACCAGTACGTGCAATTAATAATATAGTCAATATGTTGGACAAAATATTATAAGGTTAAATTGAAAAAAAAGAAACAATACGAAATTCCTACGAATATATTTAAAAGAACAAGGTGGAGTAATAATCAAGGTGCAACACTGAAAAAAAAGCGCTTAATGTTTTAATATAAAAATATTTAGTCAGCCTAACATCAAAATAGCTGACTAAATTTTGACATGTTTTTGATATTCGATACTCTATCTATAACTATATAACCTAAGCTCACTAAATATAAAACAACTACGAGTAATTTTAAATAGGTACGTTTGAACATTTCATAAAAGTGAAACCTGTGGGTAAGTATCAATAATACATCAGACAGTACAAGCACAGTATAAGGAGTCTCCATAATTTTTTATACTGTGGTACAAATATCATTAAAATTGTAAGCTTTGTAACAGGGGTGGGTAATATCTATATATTTTAGTTACAATATCTATGTACTGTTCCAATAACGGATATGTTAAAAGTCTGTTATCCAAAAAATAATATTGGATAACAGACATTTAACATATGCGCAAATAAATATCCGACCTATTTGGGCGATATCGAAATGGACGATAACCTTTCTTCTGCCATCAATATCCAGGATGTCCAGAGGTATCCAATATACAGATATCGCATTTTATCTATTATTATCCATGCCTTTGTAATTAAATTTATTATCCTTGAAATAATATGTACAAGTCTTATTTAAAATTATTACGGATACAATTTAATATTACAGCAAAAAAGTAGCTAAACAATAAATCTTAATAAAATATATTTCGTACAATTGAATGTTCTAAATAGGAAAAGTTTTAGGAGTAGAAGTGTCTAACTTGGCAATGAGAACAGTCTCGGTTGTTATGAGATCAATCCAAGGAATTTGATGAGATTAAAATTGCGGAGGTTTCATGAATATTTTTTTTTTCTCGTTTCATATTTTGCTAGCGCTCCGAGCCAGCTTCGTGTATCTACTTATACAAAAGTTCATCATCATCATCATATCAGCCGTTAATTGTCCACTGGTAAATATAGGCTTCCCCTTATTGGGGGTTTTTCCAGTAGTTGTCACGTTTGGCTAGTACTTATAGGAAAGGAAGGGGTGGCCCAGTATACGCTGGGACCACACAGCGAAATACAATACCTATGTTATACAATAAATATATTGTATCAACATATAAAAATCTTCTGCAAAAAAAATATCTAAATAATAGTGAAACCTGCATCAAAATCCGTTGCGTAGTTTAAAAGGAAACAGAGAATTCGGCTGTCGTCATAACCAGTGAAGATATCGGATAACATGTCCTCCTTTTCGAATTCACTAAAATAAATATTCAAAATAAGAATTTATGGCATGACCAACCTCGTTTTTCAATACAATCAACAATATAACGCTCTCCACTCTCAACAGGTGACTAATTAAATTAATTTTCATTTTCAAGTTCAATTAGTTATTTGTTATTTAAAGAACTTAATGTCAAGTGTGCCGACCACAATGCTTTTAATTGTCATTAAAGTTTTCATTATTTCCACAGACATAACAATGAAGATAAAGGAAACACTAGGTATTATGGCGTATAGAGAGGTCAAGGATATGACATGGGATAGAGCTGGCTGGAAAAAATGCATAAATTATTTGTACCAACAAGAGGAAACTCTTAAATGAAAAGAAGAAATAATTAAGTATGTCTGTCGTTATTAGCCTTATTACAATAGTTTTAAAACAATAATAATACTATTCTATTTAATTAAATGTATTTAAATATTGTAATTTATTTAAATCTAAGCTAACCTAATACTAGAAGTCTGATAAAGCTCCGCTCTATAAAAACCAGACAGGAGGTAAAACAGACTTCACAGTAATAGAATTTGGCAGGTTTCGTGAATTTAAAGTGAATGTAAGCATTCCAAATAAAAAAAAAGTAATAAAATTGTCTATGTGCATGACATGTGCATGGTTTGTCTGTCGTAATAGCCAGTCTATTATGATAGTAAAAAAATAATACCCTTAATAATGCTATAAATATGAAAGTGAATTTATATGTTTATTATTTAATGATCATAAAATTTGGCATAAATATAGAATTTGGGTCGTAGTATGTATCATGAATATAGTTACATTTTATCTCAGTCAATCAACATAAATATCCTGGTCACGCAAACGAAGCCGCTAATAATACATAATTATAAGTTAGATAAATTGCTAGTACACAGTGGTACAATGCATGCTTAGCAATAGTTTTATTTTATGTAGTTACAAAGAAGTGTTATTTATAATAGTAATATCTAAATTGATTTCTGAATTGGAAATTAAATAACAATAGATATTCTCGTTCACATTTATTTCTTATTTTAATTTCAATTCGTGGACATTCAAAGCTTTTCTTGCAATTGATTTTTCCTACCAATTCTTATAAAAGACTTAGCAAGTTTTAATATTTCATTTAAAAAAGTAAACGTTTCAAGCATACCACTAACGTATAATGTGTAAAATATGTAATAATATGGACTTTGTTATTAATTTGTTTTACATCCAAATACGGTACAAATAATCCTAATTAATTACGATTACTTAAAACAAATTACACTTCTAACGTGGAAATAATTACAACATGTTCATAACTTCCGGCGAACCTTTGCGGACCATTAGCGTGTACGTGAATGATCCTGGTCATCTATCTCGCTCTAACGTATGTATTAATGTGTTATGTTTTTTTCTTTTGATGACCAATATGCATGATTTTTATTTAAGAGATAATGTTTTATTTTTTAAATTTCGAATAAATAAACAACACGTAAACAATTAAAAGATGTTACTCGGTATAACTCAATACAATAATTTCTATTTGAAATATTTCTATTAATAAAATATCACAAGATACCTCAGTTAGAATTATTTATATCTAATATCCTTTAATTTTTGTATCGTTTTAAGTAATTTTAATTTGAAACTTATATTTGACATCTACAAATAATAAATAAATAATTCTTTATTTTAATTACCAATTACTTTTTATATTTTACAAATTATTACAATTTTAATTATAATTGGGTTCTTTCTACATGCAACACAACACAACACAATGGTTCGTCTAGAACGAATCCAGCTTTTTTGGCCAGAACGCAGTTTAGCAGTTATATTCTGCGTTTTTTTTTTTATTGAACTTGAAATGGCAAAGAAGAAGGCAGAAGAAGATGTTGAAAATATTATAATTTGACAACAATGTAAACACTTTATTACGTTATATATCGTGGATTTATACCCATTTTGGTCAAACTGGTACAAGTTTGAGTAAATTTAAAGACACGTTCTAGGACAGGACGGGACCTTCGACTAGCCACAATTAATTGACCTACTATTCGGTCTGAAATCAGTTATAAAACCATCATATCCGTTATAAATCGTAGGAATATTATATAAAGTATGTGACGTATAGTTCTCAAACTTTACTGAACATATAATATGGCGAATGGATCTGTCCATTTGATTATTAATAGGTAATTGTATTATGTCTATAATATCTAGTGTCTATAATATCTTTACAATAATCTAGACCCAAAATAGTTTATTGTAAAGCTAAAAGGCCTTTTCAACGATGTCAACGTTACGACATAACCACGTTCAAGTTGATATCTATTAATAGATAAATTAATTTTACACCCACACCGTGTCAATATAAGTACACAGGAAAGAATCTGACAAAAATGTTAGTACGTTTATCAAATATCTTGTTTTCATTTTCGGAATTCCATTTCGAAACCTGAGCAACTTTTTTTGCAGAAAATCAATAAATAGGAAAAGGGTAATAATATAATTACTGTCGCTTTTAAAATAAGAATGTAGTAAACTACCGATTACGCCTGCTTTTTATATGTACTGAAATGTTCCCGAATATTTTAAATACACAATCGGGACTTAAAGCTTTTACCTTTTGCAGGTAAATAGTACGACGTGGTTACGACGTGGTGCAATCCACGTCGAAACGTCCACAATAAAGAAGCAGGTGTATAGGGTGTATTTACCTGTAAAAGCTTTTACATCGCGTTAAATCCCGATTGTGTATTTAAAATATGTGTAAACAGCGCGAAAGTTTAAAATTAGCTATGCTCCAGAATGTTCTTGAAGATACGAAATGAATTATAAAGCACCAGCACTAAGATCATAAATATTCAGTCAGTACATTAAATGAACTGGACAAATTATTTGATCTACTGGTTCGTTTCGAAATACCGATTTTTCTGGTACCTTTAAATCTGTGTAAATTTTATAAATCACTGTTGTTAAGAAATCCTTTAATTGAATATTATAGTGCACTGTGAATTTTTTGTCTTTAAAATGTTATCTTTTCTACAATTTTTTATTTTCAAAAGGAGTATTAGAGTGTATATCTATTTTTAAGTTCTTTTCTATGTAATAATGTTCAACGCATATCTACAGACACAACCTAGAACACCCAGACCCAAGCCATTAAAAAAAATCCTTTCTTGAACTGACACGACCGGGAATCGAACCCGAGAGTTCATTTATGCAAGGCAACGAGCACACCATTGCCCCACGGGATTTGTCAATGATTTAAAAGCAACATTAAACTATACTTACATGATCATGATGTATGGATCCATTATTTGGTAGCTTACTTTTTATAATATCCGGTCCGGAAATACCTGTTCGACAGAAAAAAAATATTAGTCAATAACATTCAATTTTTTTTTAAATTCAACACAGACAAATTTTACGGGAATTTTGTTCTACGCATTTAAAAAGTTAGTCCTAATCAAAACTTAGTCTACGTAAACTTGCAGAACACCGGGTTGTAGGTACTATGGTATATTGTATTACTTTTCTTTAATGTAAGAAATAAAATAATAACAAATTAATGTGGACAGTCGAAAGGCATTTAAGACGTCATATGTATGATAGCGTACTCTGTGATGTCCATGGCACTGTTTATATCTATAGGCGATGGTTGCCACCTTCCATCAAATAGGGTGTCAGCTTGGTTGCTATTTCAAATTTAAGTCAAATTGTGTTCCACAAAAAAGCCGATTTTAATTGTGGCAAACCCATAACTATTTGGATTTAAAAACTAAATTTCTAAATCGATTATGATAAAATTTCTATGCAACCAATCTATTCATGCCTATAATATTCCATGTAGTCCCCGCATAGTCCCCGGGGTGGTCTATTCTATGCGGGGACCACTCTTTTCCCATGTGTGAAGTAAGAGGTGACTAAGAAAACTTAATGATCGTGGGATGGGCAGCCCTTAAAGCATAACCAAAACCTAACTGCTGTTTCCCATCTGCCTGCCAACTACTGGCAAAACCCTCTTATGGGGAAGGCCTATGTTCAGCAATGGACCGTTAACGGCTGATATGATGATGATGATGAATTCACGGCTAAAAAGTAATTTATAATGTTTCACATTCCAAATATTGACTATGCCAAAAATGACGATTAGTTGAATGTTAAATGTGCCGAGAGGTAACAGAAAATCCTATCATACAGGAGGAAGAGATTGTTAATAATAGGGATCTAACAGCTCCATTACTAGCAATATACCATGTCACCTCCTTGCGGTTCCCCCTGGAAACCATCACGATTAATTCATGTGGAAACCGTCAAGATCGGCTACGGACTTGCTTCCATCCTCATCTATCATCTCTCGCTGTTGCCCCGCTAATGTATACCGATAACGCAAGCAAGGTTACTGTTCCATTATCACACATTAAAAAAAAACACATACACACACATTTATAATATTGGTATGGATAAGAAAGCTTCTAAAAAAATCTTTGTTTAGCTTTGTGAAATTGTTTAAGTTAGTTGTAGTAAGTTGCAGGTTTTAACAGTTTCTTTTTTTGTTTTTGTTTTTGTAACATTTCATAAACATTAAACAATCGTGACGGAATTAAATTTTAGCTATGTTTGTCATTTGTTTATGAAACCCTAAAAAATAGTTGGCAATTAACTTGCCGAAACTATACCTACTCTTTTACAAGTTAGACGGTCGGATGGATATTATTTAACGAAACAAATAATTTGTTTAAACTTGTTTATGATCAACATAAATTATTGACGAAATTTGTTTTATTTAATAACTAGCTTTTGCCGGCGACTTCGTACGCGTAGATTTTAAAAGTTTCACCCTCTTCGAGGTAGAATTTTCAAAATTTCTTTCTCCTTATTCACCCACACTTAATAAAGAAACTATCTGCAATATTTTACGATTCCAGATTCAGCGGTTTCAGTTATGCGTTAATACGACGATACAGTATGACCAATTTATAATTCGTGAATTGATCAGTTCTTGGTAATTTCCATACACAAAGTACTGCGTGTAACAGGCGAACATAAAAGTAATAAATGCGATAACGACATACTGTTAAAGTTTAAATAGTTACATACCGGGAATTTCCATAGGTTTGGGGTGAATACAAAAGATCTTCCTAGCAGTTCTTGTGAACGTCCTCGGATCTAATGTATAGGAGCCATAAACCAATGGGTCCATGCAGGAGTTGGAGACGGCCATGATAAAGAACAGGTCCTGCACTCTCGCTGATACATGTTGTGCTGAATGCCTGTCCACCATATACCTAAAGAAAAAAATATTGTTTTATATTATACATAAAATAGAAATAAATGAAAATGTACTACTTTTAAGTCGTTTGTATACAAAGAAATGAGAATTCTTTATCACAGTGGTTACACCTGTAAAACCATATATTTTTACCATATATTAAAAATTAAATTTGGCTTTTGTTAAAGTTTATTTACAGATGTGTATTTACGAGGTTTGTCCGGAAAGTACGTATAAAAGTTTTTTAAAAATTTTATTTTACAATTATTCAGGTAAATCAATTTTATCCCCTTCAAAGTACTCCCCCTGTGACATAATGCACTTGTGCCAACGCCGTTTCCACTGTGAGAAGGCTCCTTGAAAGTCCTCTGGTTGTAGGTTTCTCAGCTGCCCCGTCGTAGCTTTTTTTATCTCATTTATGTCCCCCAAATGCCGCCCCCGAAGTACCAATTTGGTTTTTGGGAACAAGAAGAAGTCACACGGGGCCAAATCCGGCGAATAGGGGGTGTTCGGTCACCGTAATGGAATTTTTACTCAAAAACTCACGGACAACAAGAGAGGTGTGGGCAGGGGCATTGTCGTGGTGAAGAATCCAACGCCCCTCTCGCGCCAATTCTGGACGAACTCGTGCCACACGAGCTTTGAGGCGTCTGAGCACATCGACGTAGAATTTTCCATCAACTGTCTACGGTGAATTACAGTGACATCTATCCGTAAGAGAAACAAACCGCTCCATGTTGTAGTTACCCAATTTTATTAAATTATCTAACTGATCAGAATATTCATGTATTTCATTCTTAGCTGATTCGTATTTCAAAGATAAATTGGACAACGAGTTCTCTAATAGTTTAATTTTTTGTGATAATTCATCTATTTCTAAATCTTTGTTATATATTTTTTCTTTACAATTATTTAATTCTATTGAAAAAAACAATCAACATTGTCTCGGCCCTCTCTGAATCTTTTTAGCCACTTGTGGACGGTTGGTTCCTTCACAGCATCATCCCCATAAACTGTTCTGAGATCGGCAAAAATTTCACGGCCATTCTTGCCGAGTTTCGAGAGAAACTTGATTACGACGCGCTGCTCTTCAACGGAAGCGGGCTCCATGCCGACGGGGTTTCGTTAAGAGGTAACTTCACAGATGGCGTGACAAGCCAGTTCGCACCGCACGGCGGTCAGACCAGAACTGAAGCATTGTTAGGGACATAAGGAAGGGGTCCTGCGCTTACCTGGCCTCCCCACTCCTCTTTCTCGCATTCCAGAACACTTTTATACGAACTTTCCGGACAGACCTCGTATAAATCGTTATAACATTATTATACATTTAAAAATGTTTATAAATAGGTCAATTAATAAAATTATTATTCTAACTTTCAATTACGAATGATCGAGAAGCTGCGTTACTTTCTGTGAAATTTTCAAACCCGTATCAAAAACTAATTAGATCGTTCAATTAAAATATACGATTCAATTGTTTGTACCGCAAATTGGCACAGATATTGACATAACAAAGAGAAAGTTCTCAACCCAATTTCCATTTAATTAGGAAATTGATTTATTAACTTCGATATAAAGATGTTGCATCCTATTCTACTACTATTATAAACGCTAAAGTTTGACAAGATGTATTGTTAAATGTTTGTTACTTTATCACACGAAAACTACTAAATGGATCTGAATGAAATTGGGTACGCAGGTAGTTTGTATCCTGACATAATTTTAATTCAACATTTATAATAAATATTAAGGCAAACGAAGCCGCAGGTGTATTTTTTTCTTTTGTTATTTATAAACATCCAAAAATAAAAAAAAATTGCAATTTTATAAAAACATATATATAATACACATAAAAAGTATCTATAGTACTTGCACATACATATTATAAATGCTATAAAAACTTTTGTTTCTGGAACATTTGTTTTAGAAAAAAAAGTAAAGAATATACGTAAATAAATGACAGAATTTCCGTTTTTACGCAATACCGAATAAAAAATAACATAGAGATAAACAATGATATTACAATAAAAGTGATATATGTTTCAAACGTGCCGAATATCAAACATGGAGATGACACTCATTAGCACTACTACGACATTTGCATACACTTTTACATAAATGACAAATACCTAGTATAAAAAAATATATTTCATAGCCATGCTCTATCGCTAAAAGCGTTTTATCAGGCAACCTTTGACTTGATAAAATCAATTTGTTAGTTTGACAGAAATTGCTTTATACTACATACTCTATTTATTTATTCTTTATTGACCACATTATAAAAAAATGTCTGGGTTAAAAGGGGGACTTAATACTATATAGCATTCTCTCTCAGTCAACCTTTGGCAAAACAAAAATGTAATTATGCCGTAAAAAAATTGAAAACTGTTGCAGATAAACAATTACACATACGTATAAATATTAACTTATAAATTACATAAAATAATAATTCATTCTTTTTTAAGTAAACTTGTTTATAATCATTTTCGAATTGTCATTTTGTAGAGTACAATTTCAACTAAAAAGAACGGGTAAAAACACAGCTGTTGCTTTTAACATAAAGCTGTTGCTTATAATCTAAGATAATATGAATACATATTAGTAACTATGAGCATATTTTTAGGAGAATAAGTATTCAATTTACAATTTAAGTACCAATGCTTTAATTGTAAACTGAAACAATACAACTATTCGCAGGTCTAACAAAATTATGAGAGGACTTTGATTAAGGTGTCTGCTGTCAGTAAGGTGACTTTTAGAAAGTCCTCGCTTGTCTACCTTTATCTACCTACGTTCGGATAACATACTGAAATAAATCACAGACAAATGTAAACCTTCTTCCACTTAGTAACAAAGGCTATATCTGACAATAATTTCAATTTTTATTTCTAAATAGCTCAATTGATTTCATAAAGGAAGGTTGTCAATTTGTTCGTATACAAAATGTTTCTATAGCAATGTTATTGCGTCGAATAAATTCAAATAGTCTTAAAAACAAATTAGTGTCTAAGAAATACATATTCATTCATCGGTATTTTCATAATTAAAGTTATTATTTTAAAAAACTTGTTAGACTATTACGTACAAACAAATCTAATAAAATAGGTACATCGGTACAGCCATTTTCAAGTGATGTGATTAGTAATGAAAATTTATTAAGACAATTATAATAATTAACAATGCAATCATAAGGTATGCCTACGAATAAACTGATTTACTCTCTTTAAACTTTAATAACTGAAGTTTTTTTTTTTTACTAAGTAAATTCAAGTCAAAGTTATTACAGACAAAATAGTATCATTTATTTGCTTACGACAATAGTAAGCTTAAAATACATCATATATGGTGTTTAAAGTATTTGTTTTAACTGGTTTATCTCTTTATTGATTCCAGAGTATTATTTACATAAAAACATTTGCAAATAAGATTTGTGTGTACGTGTTTGTGTGTGTGCACATATTTAATTGAATCTATATATATATATACAAACGCGCGTGGCGCCTCTTCACGTCAGACCCATCTGTCGCGTACACCGCAATCGTGTCTCGTGTTGTGTTTATTTTACAATACGTACAATTATTAAAGTCAAATATAATAGTAGAAGCAACAACAAAAGTAATTAAATATATTTCATCATATTTTGTTTGCAGTAACTTTCATTAACTTTAAATACAAGAAGTATTGTTTATAAAACTTTAAAACTCCTATTTCAATTATAACAATGTTTTGGCACTTTATTTACTAGTTACCATCACTACACGTGGGACCACATGGCAAATATGAAACTATCGGCTATGAAGTATGAAAATATGGACGTGTGGAATATAGGAGTGGAATTACAGGAACATTTTACTCCTCAAGAATAGCAATGCTTGTGGGGGGCCATGGCTATTAGAGTGTGTTCTATGATATTCATAGTGCTTTTCATATCTGTAGGCGATATTTGCCATTTTCTATCAGCTGGACCCGTCAGCTTATTTGCCATTTCATGATACATAATAAAAAACGCTTCGAACAATTGAAGCTATCATATTGGTGTGCACATATTTTTTTTAATGGATGATAATGGAATGGTAACCCCACCCGCGTTATCGGTATACACCGGCGGGGCACCAGTGAAGAATAATAGGTGAGGATGAAGTGGTCAATTAGCCCATCGTGACGAATTCAACAAGAATTGTTCACGATGGTTTCCAGGGAGAACCACGTGGAGGTCGACCTAATAAGGTATACTGCTAGCAATGGGGCTGTCAAACTCCATTGCTAACAATCCTTTTCCCCCCGGTGTGCACATATTTTATTTAACTGTTTTTACATCGGTATATTATATTAATATAACATAATAATATCTTCTCTTCCGTTTCTTAAATTTTCCAATTTTCCCCGAATCCTTCTAAATATACAGGTGTCACATTTCAACTTACACTTAATATCCAAGAAAGTTGAAAAATACATTATATTTATAGAATAAAATTTATTCCTTTAACATTTCCTGGTCCAATGTTATATTACTTATTAAATATTATATATATTTTTTATAAATATCATACATTTATTATTACATTGGAGCAGAAAATAAACTAAATAACCTAAATAAATCATGTGAACTTGTTTTTTTATGTATTTTTTTTTACAGGCAGACCGTCAACTTATTTTTATTTAAAGGTGATAAAAAATATTTTATAGCATAAAAACTGTAATCATAAGCAAATTGCTAAAAATGTCTTCATTCATTCACTATATCAATACTTAACTGTTTTTAAGAGTTACTTGCTCTACTAGACATGTGTTTGTGATAACATGACTGAGACGTGTGACTAGAACAAATAAACCCAGTCAAGTGCTAGTTGAATATGAATTCATATACGTATGAACATAGAAAGTTCGATACATTAAATAATCTTTTTTTTATACAACTTAGAATGGCAAACAAGCTGACGGCCACCTGATGGAAAATGGTAACTGTCGCCTATAGACATGAGCAGTAATAATTATGAGATAGAATAACCTTATACA